ACCCACTCGCCCTCCCTGCGCCTTCTCCCCTCCACCGCCCCCCGCCCGCCTCCCCCGCACAGATCCCCGTCGCGGCCACATCTCCCCACATCTCCCCACATCTCCCCACATCTCCCCACCTCTCCCCATCCCCCCCCACCTCTCCCCCGCACAGATCCCCGTCTCTACCACATCTCCCCACATCTCCCCACCTCTCCCCATACCCCCTACCTCTCCCCCGCACAGATCCCCGTCTCCGCGGTCAACATCGGGCCCATCCACAAGAAGGACGTCATCAAGGCGTCCATCATGCACGAGTTCAAGCCCGAGTACGCCACCATCCTCGCCTTCGACGTGCCGCTCACAAAGGAGGGCGAGCTGCAGGCCAAGGAGTCGCAGGTCAAGGTCTTCACCGCCGAGATCATCTACCACCTGTTCGACCAGTTCACAAAGTACATGGCGGACGTGCGGCTCGAGCAGCAGGCAAAGGCGGCGACCACCGCCGTCTACCCCGCCATCTGCAAGGTCTCGTCGCCCGACCTAGCACACTTCCTCGACACTTCCTCGACACTTCCTCGACACTTCCTCGACACTTCCTCGACACTTCCTAGGTCTCGTCGCCCGACCACGTCTGGTGCCGCGGCGGGGGAGGGGACCCGATCTTGCTGGGGCTGGCGGTGCAGGAGGGGACCCTCAAGAAGGGCACGCCGCTCTGCGTCGAGCGGCGCGGGCAAAAGGACCCCGAGACGGGGCTGCAGGCCTGCAAGACACCGGGCCACCAGAGAGCACGAACGGCCCCCTACGCCTGCGCCAGCGCACTCCTCTTTTTTGGGCGGGTAGGCCTACCTCGACATCGGGCGCGTCGTCTCGATGGAGCCCGAGAAGGGGAAGCAGGTGGACGTCCTCAAGGCGGGCAAGTCTGCCGCGGTCAAGATCGACGCCGTCACGTCGATCCAGTACGGCCGGCAGTTCGACCACACCTACCCGCTGTACGCGCGCGTGACGCGCCGCTCCATCGACGCGATCAAGGAGCTCTTCAAGGAGGGCGGAAGAGCTGGTGTGAACGGCGTCTCTTCACACTCACTGCTGTGAACAGGAGTTCTTCAAGGAGGACCTCTCCAAGGACGACTGGGCGCTGCTTCTCAAGCTCAAGAAGCAGTACGGCGTCATCTGAGCGGCGCGGCTCGTGCCTTGTGGCACAGTGCAGAGAGCCACCGGAGTCCAGCCGGACACCGGAGCTGCGTCTCTGGAGCCGAGCGATCAGCGAACGCGTTGATCTTTTAAACAGGGTGGTGGACAGTGCTACGGCTTTAATTTTTTTCAATTTTCATTCAGCCTATGGCCGACTGCACGCTAAAGGCTACACGCTCGCACACCACTTGCTGAGTGGCTCTCCCAGGCGCTCAGCCCACGGCGGAGGCACGCCAGGCCCCGGGGAGTCGGCCGTCACTCGCCTGAGCGCCTAAGCGGCCTAAGCGGGGGTGCTTAGGGTGCTTAGGCGCTTAGGTGGCCCTTGCGAGCGTGGCGGCGTGGTGATATCGTAACACAAGTGACTCCGACACTCATGATGCTCCTGCTAGTGTCATCGCTCGAAGAGCAGCCTCACCACGTCCACTGTCTACCACTGGCCCTGCCCCTGGTCGGCGCAAACTGCCGCAGCATCAGCCTCGTCACACGCCTCCGCCAGCGCCGTGATCCTTATTCAGTCCCTGTACTCTTGTATCGCTGCCGCGACCGTGTCCGCACCTGCATGGTCCAGCAAGTCGCCGTGAAAAACCAAGCGACAGAATGGAAGCCACTATCGTCGGGACCTGCCGAACCTGCCAGAGACGAGGTACTCTAAGCGCTCGTCGTCTTCAACGACAGAGTTCCTCAGCCACCGCAGTCATCTGGCTCGGATCGCAGTAACGCACGCCGAGCACCTCTTCAATCTCCAGCAAGTCTGCGCCCATGGACCCGGCAACCTTGTCGCTGGCGAGTGGTGGCAGATGACCGACATCCCACAGCACCAGCAGCAAAAGCGGGCGGGCCGACCCCGCGGCCATCGCCGCCGCCGCCGCCTCTTCCTCCGACGCCGCCCCCTCCGCCGTCGCCGTCACCTTGGGCTGCATCACCCGCGCCGCGTCGCGCACCGGCTCAGCTCATTCAAAGGCGCCTCGAGTTGCAGGCCAGCGGCACTGGCGTTGTAGTGGTCGGGCTGCCCAACGTCGGCGCGGGAGGGAGGGGGCAAAGCCGTTATGGAGAGCGCGAGAGCGAGCGCCAAGAGGGCCCAGGTTCTGAGCAGCAGCCGGCCCGGTCATGCGGCCACTTGCCGACGTGCGTCCAGCTTCCCGAAGTTTGCTCTCCGACGCGTGCCGAGCGAAACCTTTTCCTTCGAAGCTCAGCGTCGTAGCCGGGCGAGCGGAATAGGGCGGCCCTAGAGAGCACCTTGAGGCCGTTCAATAGAGCCCGTGTTATAGTCGAGAGTCGCTCGCCGGCCGGCGCAGTGCTGCTCTGACCGCTCCGCCGGGCCCCCTCCGGGCCGCCGCCGCGGAGACGTGCACATAGGCAAGTTGGTATTTTCACATATGAACTTGAAAATAACATTGGCTAATCTAATCCTACTCATCACAACTCGCCACACCCCCACACTATAGGGTCATTGTGTAGCCCTGCTTAGAAGGAAAAGGTTTACTGCCGAAGGTCCGTATGTGCGGCGGCTTACCGTGTAGTCGGCCCTATGTGTGCTATGAGCTGTGTGTGTGTGTGTGTGTGGTCACCCCTCGAGGCCCACCCCAGGCCCAGCCTCGGGAGCTGCCGCGAAGGATACACCACCGCACACATGTCACGTGTCTGTACATTAGGAGTTAACGGCCGGTTTTGGGCCACGGCGACGAGCACTGGTACTCCAACTGCTGCCGGCCAAGAAGGCTGGACAAGGTGAGCACCCACGCTCACTCCGCATTTAGAGGTACACGACCACCTTTCGCGCGGCGTTCGTAGCGTTTTGCAGAGCGGGCACTGGGCGATGCGAGGCGCGCACTGCTTGCACACCGAGACGTGACAGGTCAGCACGGCTCAAACATCTTGGGCCGGTCCATGCAGACGCACAGCAGAGCTGCTCATCAGCGGCCATGACGAGCTCCGGGTGCGCAAGAGCTCAACCTCCACGCGCCCCTTCTCCTCCTCAGCCGCCTCCTCGAGCCGCGCCTTATCCTCGCGCGCCTTGGCGAGCTTCGCCTCTGCAATCTTCTTCCTGGCCGCGCCTTTGCCGCGCCGTTGCCTCCGTCTCCTTCTTTGCACGCTTGAGCTCGGCCTGGCTCTCGGCCGCCTGCTTTGCGATCACCTCAATCTGCGCGCGCGCGTGACCGAGCCGCTCTCTCTTTCATGTTTCAGCAGCGGTCGGATTCATGCTTCCACTGGGTCACTTGTTTGGCGGGTTGCGCCAGAATTTCTAGCGCGGCTGAGAGTGTGACTTTCGTGAAGTCAAAGGCGCTCTGCGAGTGAATCAACTCCAGAGGCACGTCTGGCTCCTTGCTGAAGCATCCCTCCACAAAGTGCTGAAATCCGGCAGCTAGGTTGGTCGATTTCATCTCCTGCAGTACGGCCTCGCGCGGGTACGACTTATTGCTTTGAGCAGTCACCCAGTCCTTGCTCTTCTCGATCGCCCCGCGGGCCAAGATTCTCTCCTTCATTTGCGAGATCGACGCCACCAAACCGATCGCACGGACAGGGAGAGGGAAATTGACAATGGCCCGCACTCTTCGCAGAATCTCGGGTCGCCTGCAAAAGTCGTATAGGTTCACGTGGAAGACGCACGCCACCGGAAGCTGGCGTGCATTCCCTTCCGCGCGGCATTTGCCCACATAGTTGCCCACCTTCAAGACGAGTGCGCGGTCCGTCTCATGGATCTCGCACCATCTTCGAAAACCCATTTGTCTGAGCACCCATTTGTCCGATGACGAGTTTGAGCACCATCCCCAAGCCCCCATTTGTCCAACACCAAACAGGAGCAGCGCGTGCGTGCTGTTGAAGCGCTGCTCAGCATAGGTGGACTTGCCCACGGAGCTGTAGCCGAAAACCACGTTCAGTGTGATACTTCCGGACTTTAGGCTTCTGGCGCGGGGCATGGTAGCCATCGAGTTGGAGTGTGTGTCGGCACTCGATCTTGGTGGCGGTATCTGCTCCTCCCCAAACGCTGCATGGAGCAGGAGCACCAGCATCGCGGCAGTGGCGGTTCGGCGTGGCGCTCCAGGCAGTGGTGTGGCCTGAGGACAATCTCGACACCCACCGCGCATCTGGCTTGCTGGCCAGCGCCCCGACGCCTCCACAAGGCGCCCGGCGTTTGCGTATGCTCCGCGGCGGGCGCTGTGAGACGACAAAATCGAGATTCTGCGAGATCGCAAGGGATTCGACGTTATTTTTGTGGCGTGCTCGTGTGTTCTAAGCATGTAAGAGGAAAAAGGCCGTCTGGAAACGCGCCATAAAAACGGTCTATGCACGCGCTCCGCCCTCGGCCGCTGCCGCCACCGGGAGCGGCGACGGCGAGCGGAGCACGGACGAGACACACACACACACGATCGGGTAGCGAGCTCTGGGGGGGCGCGGGGGCCCCCGGAGGCACCGTGCGCCGCGCCGCAGTGCGGAAACGGGGCTCCGGCTCTATGAGTCTCTATGAGCACCGATTTCCCGATCTAACCCGGTCTAACAGAGGGCAGATTTGGAGAGATCTCGAGGAGTACATACAGGTAGACCCTTCAACCATCAGAAACCTCCGACCTGATCGGTCGTACTGACCGCCGACAGATCACTCCAGACAGCAGACAGGCCGACGTCTGCACGCGGCCGGCCGGGCGAGAGGCTTGATACGATCCGACCCTGCGACCCTGACGCTGCTGCTCTAGCTATCAGACATGCACTGCTGACTGCTGCCACAATGTGCGACCTGTGCTTGCCCACTAGGCGGCCTTCCCGGTCAGTGGTGAGGCGCAGTTCAGAGCTGTCGATGGCGCGATGCCGCACTGGTCCCACATTGGTGACACGAGACCGCCAAGTTTGCCGGTCCAAGAGAGAGGCACCGGCGCTGTCCTGAGAAGGTGCGTGGTCCCTCTTGACTGCCCATGCGCGCGAGGCTGTGTAGGCATAGCCTCGAGAGTGCCAGCAGCCAATCCGAGGCAGTTTGTGACGCGCATTGCGTCAGAAGCGTGCACGCAGCTGGAAGCGTGGAAGGACACCTTCCTACTGGCCGTACCGTGTTGAACGGCGATCATCAGCAGCGTGTCACCAGCTCTGTTGGCCGCGTTTACGTCGGCCGCGTCGCTGCTGAGCCACGCCCGCAGCACTCCCACGTTGCCGTTCGCCGCCGCCCTCACGGAATCCCCTCACGACGTTCGGCGGCGCCTTCACGATGCGCGGCATTGCCGAGAGGGGGGGGGGGGGGGGGCGCCCGTGTTTCCGTTCCTCTTTGCGGGCTCTGTTTGCTGCCTCTGCTTGAAATGACGTCCGCAAAAAAAGATATCTTGACGCCGAGTCCACCGTGGAGGCACAAAAGGCACAGTCCGAACACATCTGCCGGGCGCCCGGCCAGCCACAGTCAGCAGCGTATACGGCCTGTGGCGTATCTCCCCAATGGCGGAGCAATTGTGGCACACCGTTTTCGAGGACAGCAAGATTGGGCAGCAGCCGCAGCGCGTGATCGGCGAGCTGCTCGCGGCGGCGTTCCAGGAGGTGCTGCCATCGATTGAGTCGGTGCCACCGATAAGGTTCAACACGACGGCTTGCGACGCCGCGGGCGGGAAGCTGCAGACCCAACAGTGGCGCTTGCTGGAGTTGTCACTCGAGAATCTGCAGCACGCAACCATCTTTGGAGGAGACGGCAGCGGCCAGTTTGGAGTGTGCCGGCCACGCGCGCCCAGACAAGGAATCAGAGCACAGCTGGCGTTCTTGGAGGCGCATCCCGAACGTAAGGTTTGTGTGATGCTGCCAATCACGGTGCCACTGCTTCGCAAGGTGGCAACCATACTCGTCTTTGACTACCTGCTGTGGAACTACAATCGATTCCGCAACTACAAGGCTAAGCGGCCACCCATCTTGCATTACACCCGGAACACCTTTGTGCGGCGGAGCAGCACCGGCGCTCCTCTCTCTCTCGCCACCTTCTCGCCGGCCAGCATCGCCTCGCCTAGCGCGCCGTTCGCCTTCATTGGTGCGTAGACTCTATATAATCTCGGGTTATCTCGCGTCATCTCGGGTCTCGGGTACTCTCACCCGGCACGGCCCCCGTCCCTCTCGTAGACAACGAGTTTGGGACGCACGCGAAACTTGGCGCGGTCCGAATCCTGAACGCGTCTCGCTCGGACCACCGGCACGACGTTTGCAAGGCATTTCCGAGCTACGTAGACTACGCGAGTTTCAGGACCTACGTGAAAAGGAGCGCGGGCTATGCAATCACGGCCGACGCTGCGATTGGCTGCCCGCTTGCACCCGCCCTCGTCGCTGACTTGAATCGTTACGGCAGTGGCGCAGCCTTTGCAGACGCGGTGCTGAGCGCGAAGCGTCTCGCGCGCTCCGCCTGCGTGCAACGCCTGTGGAGGCGCACGTTCAGCTCACCGGGCTGCCCCAATCTGCGCGGCTACCTTGCAGCCCGCTACGATACGCTCGTGGTGGGCTTGCGGGCATGGGGCTGTGCGGCTGTGGTGCTCTAGATATGTGATAGAATATGTATGTATCTAAGGAGAGGATTCACAACTTTGGAGGGGGGAGCCGCTTTGAAAAGGCTTTGTCCGTGGAGACGGCATCAGAAAAGTCGCTTGGAATTTCCGCCACTTTAGAAAAGAGGCGTGGCAACGGAGAACGGTTTACGGGGCGACTTTAAAGTTGGGCGACTAAATTTAGGTAGGCGCGACAGCGATGGTCGTCTACCGTGCCAAGCGCAAGGGTGGGCCGGGCTCGACCGGACGTCCTATCACCGCCCGCCTCCTATAGCCGTAACATGCCTCGGCTTGTCTGGTGAACTCTCGAGCGAGAACACACACAACACGTGTGTGTGGGCGTTGGGGGCACACACACGCGCTAGACTGTGCGGGTACGGACGGATTCTACTAAAGCGGCACTAGCTGGTCGCACCAGCCGCTAGCGCGCAGGCGGTGCCAGACAGGCTCCGCCGCCCACGGCTGCTTGAGCGTCTTCTTCGCGTGCACAACCAGCTCGTGCGCCTCTGCCGAGGAGTGGAGAAGTACTGCAGCAGCGCGAGAGCATACTCGCGCAGGGCGGCCTCCTCGACCAGGACAGCAACCCCAAACATCGGGCCGGTCCTCTCGAGCAGCTTGAAGCCGATCCGGTCGCGCATCATGGTCACGACGTAGAAAAAGGATGGCGGGAGACGTTGGCGTTGCGCATGAAAGGCCCGAACAAACCGCTCGGGGATGTTGTCGAGGGGATCCCACGTCCAACCATCGACATCGTCGCCTTCCCAGGCGATCAGAAGCTCGATCCCCCCAGCTCTCTGCCGCCACGAGATGACCTTCTCGACGTTGTAGCTCTCTGGCAGCACGGCCGTTTTCGGCCCCGCCCGGACCTGCGGCGGTTTTGGTTGGATTCCGTGAGATACCGATTTTTCTGTCACTGAATAATTGGCATAGTGCTTGCCATGAGGGTGTTGAGGGTTGGGGGGGCGGTGGTATGCGCCACATAAATCGGGAAGTACCATCCTGTGCGCCGCAAAGGCCGATCGCGCCCGACGGGGTGGGGCGGCTCACCGCACACGCATAGTTGCGAGGCCGAGCCCGCCGGGCGCGTAGAGCCGAGTGGCCGGGGGGGAGGCGGACCAGGGAAACCGCGCGCGGCAGTGCGAGGTGACATGTACATGTGGCGCGGGCACGGCGGGGGAGACGGCGCTGTGCTAGGGGGGCGCGGAGCGCACATGGCACATTGTAGCGCAGAACAGGGATTCGAAAAGGCGGCCTGATGAGTGGGAAAAGTGGAACAAGCTCCAGTCGCACCGTGCCCGTCTCCTACCCGACGGTGGCACTCTTCCACGTCTCGCTCACGCTGAGAAAAATTCTGAAACTAGAACACCCAACATACGCACGGTTCCGCCAAAAGAGTGGCAAGTGCCGCGCGCGCCCTCTCTCCGTTCGCGCTCTCTCGAGCGCACACATGGACATGCAAGATGCATGCCTGCCCCACCACACCATTATACAGTACACGGGGCTCGCGTTGAGATGCACACATTTGCGGCGCGGCGGCGCTTTGCCCGCTTCGCGGCGCGCGCTCCTGCCCCCTCCGCCCGCCCGCCGCCTCACAGCTGCTTGACCATCGGCTGTGAGCTTCCAAACGGGTCCCTCACCAGCGACCACTGCTCGGGCAGCAGCGCCGGCCGCGCCCCCTCGTCACCGCGCCGCCCCTTGCGCCCGCGGCGAGCAAGCGGCGCGCCGGACGGCGGGGCGGCCTCGGCGTACCCCCGCCTGCGCCAGAAGCCGACCGTGTCGTGGCCCGCGAGCACGACGACAGTGCGCACGCCGAGCTGCTCCGCGAGCCATGCCTCGGCGGCGCCCAGCAGCGCCGCGCCGATGCCGCGGCCAGCGTGGCTGCTCGCGACGGCGAGGAGCTGCACCTGTGCTCGCGGGTGCAGCTGTGAAGAGACGCCGTGCACAGTGGCGAGACAGCGAGGCGCCGCGCGCCTCGCAGAAGGAGGCGGCGGCGTGCGGGATGAGGGTGAGCGCCCCGACGATCGACTCCTTCCCTTCGAGGCGAGCGACAGCGGTGCGGGCGCCGTGGCCGTGCACGAGCAAGTGCAGAAAGTCGGCGCCGCGCCGCTTGCGCTGCGGGCTGAGCCCGGGGTGGGCCGGCGAGCAGGGAACGTCGGGAGGGAGGTCGACGTTGCACTCCGGCAGCCTGCGCCGGTAGAGCCGGAGCGCGTGCGCCTGCGAGATCATCACTCGAGGTGAGGGGAGGTGAGGGGAGGGGAGGTGAGGGGGGGTGAGGGGGGGTGAGGGGAGGTTAGGGGAGAGGAGGCGAGAGGAGGCGAGAGGAGGCGAGAGGAGGCGAGAGGAGGCGAGAGGAGGCGAGAGGAGGCGAGAGGAGCCGTGATGGAGCCGAGGTGAGCCGAGATGAGCCGAGGTGAGCCGAGATGCGCCTCTGCGGGCGAGAAGCTGCCAAAGGCGGCGGGCGGAGGCTGCAGCTCGAGGGTCACACCGGAGGAGGAGAGGTCGGGGCCGGCGGCGGAGGCGGCGAGGGGGACTGCCGCCGCCGTGGCGGCGGGCGGGGCGGGAGGGGCGACGGTGTACTCGACCGAGCGGCGGGTGGGGCGATGCCGCGAGCTGCCCGGAGGCGGCGGGGTGGGCTGCGGCGGCGGGGAGGAGGAAGCGGCAGCGGAAGCGGCGGCGGCGGCGGCGTCGGCGGCGGTGGAGGAAGTGGAGGCGGCGGCGGAGGCGGAGGCGGAGGAGCGAGAGACGCGCGAGCTGAGCCGCGGCGCCGTGGCGGCGGCGCGAGCGCGCGTGGTCCGCTTGATCGGCGAGAGGGGCTTGGCCTGCGACGGCGGTGGCGGCTTGGGCGACGCGCCCGCGTTGCGCAGCTCAGCGAGGGCGGCGCGGCGCGAGGTCGAAAAGGAGGCGCCGAATGGGCCCTCGCCGGCGGAGGGACTGCTAGCCGCCGCCTCCTTTCGGGCGGGCGGCGGCGCGGCGCTGGCCCAAGACGGCGCGTTGCAGCCTGCCCATCCGTCGCCATCCCCGAAGCGGGCGGGTGGGGGCCCGCGTGTGGGTCGGACCTGGCTTGCCCGCCGCCCCGACCGACTCCCCCTCGGGCCGCCCGCTGCGGCGGCGCTGGCGGCAGCAGACGCGCTGGCGGCAGCAGACGCGCTGGCGGCAGCAGACGCGCTGGCGGCAGCAGACGCGCTGGCGGCAGCAGACGCGCTGGCGGCAGCAGACGCGCTGGCGGCAGCAGACGCGCTGGCGGCCGCTGCCAGTGCGGCGGGGGCCGCTGCCGCGCGGCTGGCGGAAGCTGCTGCGGGCGGCTCGGTGGCCGTTTGCCGGCGAGCTGCCGCCTCGTCGCGCCGCCAAGAGGGCGGCAGGACAGAGGCGGACGAGGACGGCGGGGCGGACAAGGCGGCGGCGGTGGAGGGACGGTGGGCGAGGGCGGGCGCGTCGGCGACGGCCGGGCGGCCGGAGGTGATGGTGGCGAGGAGCCACTGCTCATCCGCCTATGTGGGGTGTCGCGGCCGTGTCGTGGACGTGTCCCGCGCCGGTGGAGGCGAGAGACGGCCGCCTCGGCAAGGCGGGCGCGCGGCTGATTGCGGTGCACCTGCGGGAAGGCTCCGAGCGACGCTTCGGAGGAGGGCCCCGAGACTGGCGTGGCCGGCTTGGGAGGGGGCGCGGGAGGGAGGAGAGGGGCGGAGGCCGAGGCCGAGGGAGTGGAGAAGAGAGTCGGGGAGGGAGAGAGATGGAGGGGAGGCGGGAGGGAGAGGGCATATACCTCGACGGCGCCCGCGTCGGAGATGGGGCGTCCGTACTGGACGCGCGCACCCGCCTCGCAGCAGAGGGAGCACAGGTCGGCATGCGGCATCACCGTCGCGCCTCGCAGCGTCACGGTGAGCCCCGCAAGCGCGCGGCCGCCTCCGCTCAGCCGTGAGAGTTGCGCGCCCGGGACGTGCGGGAGCATCCCCTCCTCGAAGGGGGCGGGGTCGACGGCGACGCCGCGATTCCGCGCGCACGCGGCGACGTACTCCTCGCCGACGATCCAGTGCCCCCGCGCGAGCGCCCGCAGCAGCTTGAGCGTTCGCCGCACGGGACGGCCGCCCGCGACGGTGACGGGCTCTCCGCGGACGAGCGTGGCGCGGACGCGGTCGTGGATGTGGGCGAAGCAGCGCTGCGTTGCCTCGTCGTCGACGCCGGTGAGGGAGAAAGACATCGGAGGGGAGAGGGAGATCGGCGAAGCGGCGGAGCGGCTGTTGACCGCTTGTCTCAAGAGCGGGAAGGAAAAAGAATTCCGCGGTTGACTGTTTTTTCTCTCTTATTCCTAGAGAGTCGCTGGAATTCAGCAGAGCCGGATGCCAGCCAGGATCGAGACTCGCCTGTCGCCGGACGGCGAGTGGCGCAAGAGCGGCGTTCTCGCCGGCGGCAGCGTCGTCGTCGGCCGAGCGCAGTTTGATGGTGCGCCGGACGCAAAGAGCATCTCGCGCGAGCACTTTGATCTCAGGCTCTCTGCCGATGCGTCGCAATCTGAAAAGAATACCTCCCCCGGTATTTATACCGGTAGGGAGGCGTGTGCCGAATACAAAGTGGAGTCCCGCCTCCGCCCGCCCGCCCGCAATAAGTGCAGATGTCCTTTTCAGCCTGCCGAGAGCTTCCTGGCCCGCGCGCGCGCTCCGCCTGCCGCAATCTGAAAAAGAATTTTTCCACCCCACCCTCGCACCCTTGGGAAGGAAAAAGAATTTAAACAAAAGAACTCTCTCTCACAGCAGACAGGCTCGACAGGTGCGAACTGGCGCGTGAAAAAGAATTTTACGCACAGCTTCCTAGGGGAAACCCAAACCACACCCCTCTCCTTAAAATCCCTGTGTGGTGGCGGCGTGCCGTTCTCCCATCCCTCCCTTGGGTTGTTGTTTTCTTTCTTTTTTCCAAAGCGCAGAACCAACCCTCGGAGACCCGTGTTATGGCCCTGCAAACGCGCACCCCCTGGGCTAGGGCTCTCTAGCCCGTAACCCGATGCCAATCATCCGGCCCGCTGGGTGCGCTTCTTAGCTCCCCGGCCCTGGATGTGCGGTTGATGACTGCACTCCAAGTGCTCCAAGTGCTCCAAATCGCCTCGCACAACACTGGGCACGGGACTGGCGCGCACTGGCACTAACACAGTACACCACTGGAGCCGCCTAAGCGACTCCCGCGAGGACGGCGAGGCACTTAGCTCCGTGCACTCGACCAGACAGACCGTATGCAATTTCCTGCGGCCAGGTTGCTACTCCGAGACGTCGGATAAGCACCAACGGCCAATGCACGAGGGGGTCGGTGGAGACTTGTTCACACCGGTATGCCTTGCCCTTTTGGTGCTTCTAAGTAGACGGCTATGCTCTTAGTAGACTGTGGATTGTTGTGAGTGAGTATTCTTGATACGAAACCACGACGACACACACCAGTCGACTCGCATCGGTTGCCTCCATGAACGGCGGAGCTATTCTCGCGTCCACACCACACCTGGCTCCAACGTGGACACGCCCATAGCTGGGGACACTACTAGGTCACGCATGGCATCAGAAGTTTTTACACACACACACACACACACACACACACACACACACACACACACACACACACACACACACACACACACACACACACACACACACACACACACACACACACACACTGTGGATTGTTCACAGTCATGTGTGGAATTTCGGCGAACGCCGAAATTCCTATTTCCGCGGCGTCTTTTAGGCCGACGGATTTTATGAGTAAAACAGTGGCTGTCACACCGACAAAAGGTTTTCCTCCAGCTTGTGCCCGCCCGCCTCTCTGCGCACCACTCCAGACACGGACTCTCGCCCTGGCCGCGCGCCGCCCTTTTGCCTCGCGAGATACAGCGCACGTCTGCCGGAGCTCTCCGCCCGACGGTCGCCCGCGCTGACCTTGACCCTGCTGCTCCTGCCTCTGCTCCGCAGGTGTGGGTCGACGGCGCGGAGCAGCGGCCGCCCGCCCGCGTCCCCCGCCCCCGCCCGCCCGCCGCCGCCACGCCGCTGCATGCGCGCCGCCGCCCCGATGGCTGCGGCCACGGCCGGTCGAGCAGTCCCTCGCGCCGCGCCCCCTCGCATCCTGCCTCACCAGCCACCCCCTCACCCTACCACCGCGCCTCATCTGTTGTGCTCAGGCGACGACCCAACTCCTCCGCGGCCTCAGAGTCATGCGATATGTCCTGATCGCCGCACTCGCACTTTTGCCAGTGGCGCTGGGCGACGGGCCGGCATGCGACGACTTCAACGCCCGGCATGCGAGCGGCGAGCGGCCAAACGTTCCACTCCCCGCAACGCCCGACGAGGCTACCAACGATGATGTTTGCCGCGTGGCCAGAATTCTTGGTGGCCTCCCCACGGAGGAGCAGCTCAGGATGGTGCTCGCGGCGCCCGTTGTGCCCGACGTGACGGCGCTCCCGACCAAGACCGAGCGCGGGCCACTGTTTGCACCGTCCAACCCTGCGCCCGGCCCGATGGTGCCCGACGTGGTCGAAGATCCGAACTGGCTCATCGCCACGTCCGGCTTCTGCTCGAGCCTCAACGTCGTCATGAACGAGCGCGACGTCGAGGCGAGCGAGACCGAGGGCGACATGGCCGGGCATTTTGTGGCCGACATCTCCTTCAACTACTACCCGCAAACGGCGGTCAAGTTCACCGACTTTCCGTACCACAAGGCGAACGCCATCGAGGGCGACCAGAACGAGGCGGACGCGCTAGTGTCGCCCGCGTGGGACCACAAGAATATCGCGCTGCTCGAGCCGACGTCCACGTGCAGCGCCGACGAGCAGACCAGTCAGGCGTGGGGCATCTCCGTCTTCAAGGTGGAGGAGCACCGCGCCTGCAGCGAGAATGAGACGGCATGGGAGGGCCACCCGTGCGTGCACTACACCGGCTACGTCTCGGCGGAGACATCCAACTTTGTCAACGTGAACGAGGCTCGGTTCCCCTGCCAGCTGTTCATTGACTCCAGTACTTCGTGGAATAGTGGTTCGTGCTGCGGGCCGGACGACCAGACCCAGACAATTACCTATGAGGAGCGCAGCCGGGCGGCGTTTGCACACCCGGGGCTGCTGCCGGCCATTCACCACGACACCACACGCCTGCACGGGCCGTGCACTGGAGCCTGTGCCAGTTGCAAATGGTATTCGCCTGGCGGGTGCTGCAGCACTTACATCGGAGATTACGTGCAGTGCGCCGAGGGCGAGTACTGCATGCGTGGCGCACGAAACACCTGCATCAAGCTTGCGGACGCCAAACAGCGGCTTCAGATGCGCGTGACCAAGCGACTCGGCAAGCACGGCTATGCTGCCGCCCGTGTCTCGCTCATCTCAATCGCCGGCACGGAAACGCAAGGCTTCTCCTACGCGAGGCCCTTCGCGGACGCCAAACTGGAGAGGGCATTTGCCTTCGGTTTCGAAGGTTGACGCAAACGCGCGGGGCGTCGGAACTCGCTGCTCGCATCGGGCTCGCGCCGCAGCCATTTCGTCGTCTGAGCTGAGTAAACTTTGTAGGAGCGAGCATCCGGCCACGTCTATTGGCGCGGGCAGGAGCAGCTGCATCGCGTTCCGCTGGTGCACCAAGCACGACCACGAGGCGAGCACTTAGGTCTTTTTTAGCATGAGGTAAGGTAAGGTAAGGTAAACTTCTCCACACACACGAGGTGGTGGGGCAAGGGGGGGCAACCCTCGCGTCTCTACGTCTAACGACAGGAGCCCCACGGCATTCAAAGTGCAAGGCCCGTTGCGCGTGGGTGAGCGGTGTGTGTGTGTGTGTGTGTGTGTGTGTCTCACGTCACTGCATCCTCTGCCGGTTCCTCCCGTCGCCTCTTCTTTGTTCGAATGTTTTTCAATCCATCCTTCACGAAGCCCTCCCATGTAGCCAGCGTTCTTGGCGAATGTCTCGAAATGGCCAGCAGGCGCTGTCTGCTCGCGGCCTGTGCGGGCCGCTCGTCCTCCTCGCCCTTCTTTCGTCCTCCCGTCCCTCCCCTCCACCATGGCCTCCTCGGCACTTCTTTCTCCATCCGCCTCGCCCTGCCTTTTCGTATCGTGCCGTTCGCCTTCCAACTTTTAGCATGAGCGGCTAAGCGGTCTCGAGGGCAGCGCCCCGCCGCGCCCATCCCTGGCATTGACGATTGAGGTGTATGCTGCCATGTCCTCCTGTGTCAGCCTATGTGTGGCCTGACAGCCTTCCCCAGGCGGTGGGGCCACCACCCAGCCCGAGCGCACAGCACATTGACATTCAAAACCGGACCCGACACCGAGCGAGACGTACCCGCACCAACCGCTTCTTATGTATTCATTTACGGACCCTGCGGGACGCGGCCTCACGTGTCCGCGCGCGTCGTAACCAAGCCGTTTACCCCGACGTCACTCGGCCACTCTCTCACCCGCCGCCTCCTCGGCCGCCTCTCCCGGCGGCGGCGGCGGCGTGACCAGGCAGGGCTGGTCCCACGGGATGATGAGCAGGTCCTCGTCGGTGCCGTGCGACCTGCGCGCCGCGTCGAGGTCCTCCGCGGGCACGAGGGCCCGCTCCTGCGGGCGTGGGGAGACGGGGGCGGGAGTTTTTTCTTTTCTTTTTTCCTGGGGTGAGGGGAGAGACCCTGCGCGCCGGAAGGGGAGACGGGCAGGCACGCTCTGAGGGGGGTCCCAGGTCTTTGAAGGGGGGGGGGGGGGGCAGGGCTGAGGGGGGTCCCAGGTCTGGCAAGGTCTGAGGGGGGTCCCAGGCCTTTGAGCGGACGGACGGACGGAGGGGGGGGTGAGGGCGGCGTCCACACGGCTGCATGCCGGGGGGCGAGGGGCAGGCCTCTAGAGTAAGTCAATCGTACAGATAGC